TTTCTTTCTCCTTCCATGTCATATATATGCCACATTCCTTGTCCAGTTGGTAGGCAGAGTCACTGTAAGTCTCTCTCGCAATCCCACCCGTGGTGCGTGGGGGTCGAATTATAAGCACATAATCCGGGATTCTCATCATAGGCCTTGAGCACATGAGAAATCGAAATTTGGGCCTCTGCCAAATATCAAATTCTTTTCAAATATAAATAAATAAATTCATATATATATATATATATATATATAAGATTTGATCTGTATTTCAAAGGAAGATTGTAATATCATACAGATAATATTGAATCCAATAAAACTAATTTAAATTAAGATTAATTTATTAAAAAAATAAAAGCAATAAACTTATAAGAAAATAGAGAAATTTATATATATATACATAATAAAATATATTTTATTTTAAAAAAAATTAATAAATTGATATTTTTATGTGATATTAATGATTTGAATGTTATATAAATTGTATGAAAAAATAAAAGAAAAATATGTAAATATATAAAAATTGAAGGTATTTATATAAATGCCCCAAAAAACTTCCTTGGAACTTGCAAGTAATTGGAACTTGAAAATTACAAAAGAATCAAATAAAAACAATCATTTTCTTTAAATCCAAAATAAGAAATATTCAAAGATGTAGATTTTACATCGTCTTTTTACTTGACTTTATACATTTCTACAGTTAATGGGTACTCTTCGCAAATGAAAAGATAATTTAAGGAGAAATATTTGCATACGTAAGATGTATGTAGCGTCGCGTACGCAGATAGGTTACAGAGAGGATATTCAGGATTATATCAGCATTATATCTCACGTAACATTCATGTAATTTACCTGTAACTTAGAAATATATGAAAATAGAAGAACGAAAATTACTAGATACATGTAGATTATAGAAAGGTTACATGGGGTATAATGCATATATAACCCCCAATACCTCTCTATAACCCACTTGACGTACACAGCTCTGCGTCTCTTATGTATTTATCTAATTTAAGGTTTCGTAAGTCAAATTCATAAAGTTAGGATTGCAAATGTAGAATATTTTTTTGTTTGTTTTTTTCCCGTGGAGCAAGATTATTGAGTAAAGTGCGTGGTGGGCCATGGTGGGTGGGTGACTGGTGGTGGCCCACCAGATCTGGCGGGAGATCTGCTGACGTCGGCTTTTACGGGCGTTGTGCGAAATCATGCGGTCGCGCTCCGTATCTTTGGCTGAAGGCACGCCCCATGTGATGTTCCCATGGATTGCCGGATGGCAATCCTATGCGATTCCCCGCATGCAAATCGTTCTATGCCGAGCAATGAAAAACTCTTGATTATCTTTAAGATTCGTAAAGTATGGTAATGGCTTTTACAAAAACGGAAAAAACTATTTTATTTTCTTGGATGCATATTATTTCGAATTTTTTTTATATATTTATAAAATTAATAAGTAAGATTTAAATGGACACCACTTAATTCGTTTTGTATTTATATATCTAATACATGAATTTCAAATATATATATATAT